CAGAACATTAACTGTAGACTGTAACAATCCATGTGCTTGTAGAGTGAATGTCATGCTTTACATACTTCTTTTCATTCTTTGCAGAAATGAGATAGTAAACGGTGATTCATATTCTGTATTAAACTCTCATCCTCTTTCATGGAATTTAATACCACTGCATAGATACTGTATTTTGGAAATACCTCAATAACTATCTGAACTCACTGCAGCTTTTCTTTTCTTTTCTTTTCTTTTCTTTTCTTTTCTTTTCTTTTCTTTTTCTTTTCTTTTCTTTTCCCCAGGAGAAATTTAACAAAAAAATTTTTCAGTTCACCTCTCCTCTTTTCTTTTCTTTTCTTTTCTTTTCTTTTCTTTTCTTTTCTTTTCTTTTCTTTTCTTTTCTTTTCTTTTCTTTTCTTTTCTTTTCTTTTCTTTTCTTTTCTTTTCTTTTCTTTTTCTTTTCTTTTCTTTTCCCCAGGAGAAATTTAACAAAAAAATTTTTCAGTTCACCTCTCCTTATTTATTGTTGAGTATTAAAATGAGATCAGCTACTCCAGAGCAAGACAGAAAAAATTTTGGGGGGAACTGTGCTATTAAAAGCTTTAAAGTTCTCTGTTGAAGTTATTTAAAGAAGACACTGTTCATGAACTACCTCTTGTATGGTGGTCAAATCTGTAGTCTTCCACAGTTTTCTCAGGAATCATATTTTTATGGAATTAAGTTCTGGTCAAGGTGAAGATTATGTCTCTATTCTGTTAGCGAAGGTTTGATACCAGCATGAAGGGAGACGAAAAGAGAGGTTGTACTTAATCTTTCCTTAATTAATTTCTACATCATGGGGTTTGGCAGCTTGAAGATGAAAAAAACCAGCAAGGTGATCCATATTTAAACTGCAAATCTGTACTTTTCCTACCCTTTTAAGTGCTCTTTTGCTGGTTTATAAAGCACCTCTCTGTGCTGTTCACTCACTGTTTCAGCACTTCCCCTTGTAGGCTTGGTCCTGTGATGTGTGTAGCTATGCAGTGGAATAAAACCATCCACTCAGTGTAAGCAGCTAAAAGCAAGGAAATTATTTCTTTCTAGCAATTTCAAGCAGGTCTATAGCCTCTGCCATAACACTGTGTTTGAGAAAGATTGAAATTTTACATAAAACAGGCTGTGGAAGGGAGAAAGTGGTAGCCAAGAGACAAGAAAGCAATTGGACACAACTCACTGTCACTTTTGTGTATATTTGGCAGCATTTCAATAATCTAACAAAGGCAGTAAATAACATAGCTGGATTCTGAATTGCTATGGGTTTTCCGAAGCACTTTATACCCATATTAGAGGGAAAAAAAATCAGATATACAAGGTTAAAGACATTTGAGGGATAGGCCCAGACTTTGAAGGGAAGGTTTTAGTCTACAGGCATATTTTATTTTCTGATACTCAGAGGATTCTCTTCCCCTTCTGCATTTTTATTAAGTCAAGCCTTTGTACCCCAGGAGTCTTCAAGATCTAACTGTTCTTTATTTTGCCTAATATGCTAAGGTGACAAAGAAACATAGCAGAAGGCATACTCCCTAAGAATCCTCTCTTACGGGAACCTACACATATATACATATTACATATATACACAGACAACATAGTGTATAAGAGTGTGTGCATGCATATGTACACTATTTCCCATCAGTGAGCTAGGGGTTGAAAGTTGCATACTGGTATAATAATTAGATATCTGTCCCAGTTGCAAGCAAATATAATTTTGCCTTTTCCACTATCACAGGTGTTTTTTGAATCATCAAGTTGGAGATCCTACAGTTTTTGCCTTGATTTCTACTCTTTGTCCATTGATTGGTCTCTTTATCTTAAAGTTTTGAAACGAGTTTGGCTTCACAGAGTATCACAAAGATAATTCCACAGTCTACCACGTTAGAAGGAAGCAACCTGTTTTCAAGCAGGTTTTTAAGATGCTTTCTCTTGTCCACAGTCTAACTAGGTCACAGAGATGTGCTTTTATCTATCTTTAGCAGCAGGTTTATCTAGCCGGGAGGTTCCTGAAAAAGAAACAAGCATGTCTTTAGTAATCCAGCTATCTTCAGGCTCTCCACCTAGCATTTCCAAGAACAGTGTTATAAGTAGCACCAACATGTCACAGGTGACAGAGGGAAAATAAGTCTAGCTTTCCAGCCTAACCTCTGCCTGGCTGGATAGATGCATGTATGTAAACACACACACATTCAGATAACTTCATCCCCCAGGAAGACTACAAGGATGTTGTAAGGTTATGCAGGGAGAAAATTAGAAGGGCCAAAGCCCAGCTAGCACTTAATCTGGCTACTGCCATAAAGGACAACAAGAAAATAATTCTGTAAATAGATTAGCAACAAAAGGAGTACTAAGAAGGATCTCCATCCTTTATTTGATGCAGAGGGGAACATCATTGAACAGAGGGGCAAAGGATGAGGAAAAGGCTAAAGCATTGAATGCTTTCTTTGCCTCAGCCTTCAATAGTAGAACCAATTCTTCTCTGAGTGCCCAGTGCCCTGAGCTGGAACACAGGGATAGGGAGCAGAATGAAGCCCCAAATAATCCAAAGTGAAATGGTCAGTGACCTATGACACCACTTAGACACACACAGGTCTATGGGGCCAGATGAGATCTGTCTAAGAGTACTGAGGGAGTTGGTGGAAGTGTTCTCCAAGACACTTTCTATCATTTATCAGCAGTCCTGGACAACCAGGGAGGTCCCAGCTGACTACTTAGCTGACACGATGCCTATCCACAAGAAGGCCATCAATGGGGAACTACAGGCTTGTCAGTCTGACCCTGATGCTGGAGAAGGTGGATGAAGGAAAAGCTGTGGATGTTGTCTAGCTAGACTTCAGTAAAGCCTTTGACACCGTCTGCCACAGCATCCTCCTGAAGCAACTAGCTGTTCATCACTTGAATGGGTGTATGCTTTGCTGAGTGAAAAACTTGCTATATTGCCAGGCCCAATGGGTCATGTTGAACGGAGTTAAATCTATTTGATGGATGGCCACAAATGGTATTCCCTAGGGCTCACTACTGGGCCCAGCTCTGTTTAGTAACTTCATTAATGTGGATGAGGGGATCGAGTAAGTTTGAAGGTGACATCAACTTGGGCTGGAGTATCTATCTGCTTGAGGGTAGGAAGACTCTACAGAGGGAGCTGGACAGGCTGGATCAACAGGCCAAAACCAATCTTGTGAAGTCCAACAAGGCCAAGTGCTGGGTCCTGAACTTGAGTCACAAGAATCCCACACAACATTGATGAAAACTTGTTGGGAAGCTGCCTGGTGGGAAAGGATCAAGGGTGTTGGTTGACAGCCAGCAGAACATGAGCCAGCAATGTGCTCAGGTGGCTAAGGCCACAGCATCCGGGCTTTTTTTGGAAACAGTGTGGCCAGCAGGAGTAGGGAAGTGATTGTCGCACCACACTCGGCACTGCTGAGGCCACATCTCAAGTACTGTGTTCAGTTCTTGGTCCCTCCCTACAAGAAACATATTAAGGTGCTGGACCGTGTCCAGAGAAGGGCAACAAAATGGTTACGTGTCTAGAGCACAAGTCTTGCAAGGAGTAGATGTTGGAACTGGGTTTGTTTAGCTTGGAGGCTTAGAAGAGACCTTCTCACTCTCTACAACCACCTGAAAGGAGGTTGTAGTGAGGTGGGAGTTGTTCTATCCTTTCAAGTAACAAATGATAGGACAAGAGCAAACGGCCTGAACTTGCTCCAAGGGAGGTTTAGATTGGACAGTAGGAAAAATTTAGTCACCAAAAGGGTTGTTAAGCTGTGGAACAAGCTGCCCAGGGAAGGGATTGAATCACCATTCTTGGAGGTGTTGTATGTATGGTGCTTAGAGACGTGGTTTACTGGTGGCCTAGAAGTGTTAGGCTTATGGATGGACTCAATGATCTTAAAGGTCTTTTTGAACCTAAATGATTCTATGATTTTATGACTCTAGAGAACCAAGGCAAAAGATAGCAACTTTTTTTAACATGCACAGAAATTGATAACCAATATTTCAGATGAACTCCAAATTCAGAAGAAGCATCCAGTATGATCATTGGAAGATAAAATTTTGCTAGAAGAAAATGGTTAATCTGCCTTGTCACACTGTACCACTACAAAGTCTTGGAGCATTCTTAGGTGTCAATTACTCTGGAGACCTGAGGGGTTGTTGACATTAATTCGATATTTGATTTTATAGTGCAGATTTTTTTTCTCACCTATCTAGAAACAAAAACCCCCTAGATTAAGTCTATAAAACTGAATGCAATTTGTAGAGTCATCAGAGATCTTTCCTCCCCAAAATCTGCCAGGTAAATATCTCTGGGATTAATCAAAGAAAATAAATTAATCTCCACCTTCCTATTACAATACAAAGTGAGAGAAGCCAGGAAACACAGTGCAAAACCTGATGGTACACAGTGTCCTTAGACCGTTTGGCCATTGTTTTCTCTCACAGCAGCACATGTTAATAATACAAAGAAGTTTAACATTTTTTGGCTTTGGCTTTTCATGTTGTAACCATAATAAATGTGCACCTTATTGTTTGTATTGATATATCCTTCAGACGCATCACCAGTTTCTAGAGCCTGTGCATGCCCAGCCAACGACAGAATTTTGCCCGCAAGTAGATTGGCGGAATTAAATTAAGCATGAACATTGCTGTACAGATTCAGCTGCAGAGTTGTGTGTCATGGTACAGCAGCATGTTTATGTTGCAAAGATATTATATGGGTCAAGCTTGACTTACACCATTAATTTTTCTGCACACATACCAAAGATTCACTAAACAATTTAATTCTGTTTTAAAAGGCCTTTGTGTTATTTGGGCGTAAGACATCCATAGTTGCACTTAGTTAAAAAGCCCCATCAATCTCCAAAAGAATAAAATAGACAATAAAATGTTAAATCCAAGAGAACAGGAAGAAATAACTAGATTTCTGCATTTTTCTGTTTGTTTGTTTGTTCGCTTGTTTTTAAGGAATTTGAGCAACACAGAAAAAATCAAATATGATGAAGAATGAAGAAACAAGCTTTAATGTGGACAGTACCCTAGCCTCTCCCTTCTCCCACTGCCTGCAGCCACTGAGCCCTGTTACAAAGCCACACAGAACAACTCAGTTTGGTGAAGAATTCAGACCACACCTCTCACATTTCCGCTATGGCCCTCCTTCTCCTCTTGGAGACACAGAAACATTCCAGGGGTCTTTGGAAGGAGGGTCTCGGAAACGCAAGAGCATGCCAACAAAAATGCCTCCTTCTATTGCTCTTGAGGGCTCCTCATCACCACCAGACAGACCTGAAGATCACAATGACATAGGCTCTTCCAGTCTCCCCTTCATATTCCAACAGCCAGCGCAGCCCAAGTACAGTTCCCAGATGATTGACCTCTGCAACGTCGGCTTTCAGTTCTATAGAACTCTGGAACACTTTGGAGCCAAGCCCATCAAGCAAGAGCCAGTGAAGCCTAACGTGGCATGGTCCAGTAGCCCAGCATTCATGCGGGCTCCTTACCCTTATTACCCTAAAGTGCACCCTGGCTTAATGTTTCCTTTTATTGTGCCACCGAATTTCCATTTCAGGAACCCCTTTCAAACAAGAAGACCTCCAGAGCCAACCTTCAGGAGAGCTGAAGTAAGAGAAAGTGGTGAAAATAAACAGAAAGTGGAAAGAGTAGATGTCAACCTTCAGATAGACGACAGCTACTATGTTGATGTGGGTGGTGAACAGAAGCGCTGGCAATGTCCCATGTGTGAGAAGTCGTATACATCCAAGTACAATTTGGTCACCCATATCTTGGGGCACAGTGGCATTAAGCCACATGCCTGCACCCGATGTGGCAAGCTTTTCAAGCAGCTGAGCCACCTGCACACGCATATGTTGACACATCAGGGCACTCGGCCACACAAGTGCCAGGTGTGCCACAAGGCTTTTACTCAAACCAGTCACCTTAAGAGACACATGATGCAACACAGTGACATCAAGCCTTACAACTGCAGGATCTGTGGCAGAGGTTTTGCCTATCCGAGTGAGCTGAAAGCACACGAGTCTAAGCACGAAAGTGGCCGAGAGAACATTTGTGTGGAGTGTGGTCTGGATTTCCCAACTCTGGCCCAGCTGAAGAGACACTTGACAACCCATCGTGGTCCTATACAGTACAATTGCACCGAATGTGATAAGACCTTCCAGTACCCAAGTCAGCTGCAAAACCACATGATGAAGCACAAAGACATCCGCCCGTACATCTGCACGGAATGTGGCATGGAGTTTGTGCAGCCCCACCATCTCAAACAACACTCCCTGACTCACAAGGTAAGCCAGCAGGTGTTGTGCTCTCACGTCCCAGCAGAAGGTAGCACAGGATTACACACTACTAAAGATGCACGTGTATGTACCTCCTCGGAAAGAAGGCCATCAGTCTACGGAGCCTGATGCTGGCCCTCTGCCAGTTCCAGTTTTATGCAGAGCAAAAGCCTCAACAGCACTGGCAATAGTAGAAGCTAGATGTCTTGTTCAGTCTTCAGAAAGTACGCACAAAACCTGCTTTTTTATAAACCTCCCTTCAATTAACCCCCTGTATTACTTCCCAAAACTGTATTTGCAGCTCTCTGTTTTTGTGTTCTATCGTCAGAATGACCCTCTGTAACATAACACAATCTTATAAAGCTGAATAACCCAGCTGAAATTTTAACTGGAATTTTTTACTGAAAACCAGTTCTATTGCTTTGCTCCCTTAAATGGGAAGTAGGTGGATTTGCAGTAGACTATACTTATGTGGCGAAGATAGTATGTTATTACTCATGAGATTTTGAGAAATCATTAAAACGAGGCATTTAGGAAAACAAAAACAAAAACAAACCCAAAAAGCTAAGGAGAATTCCCCTTTGTGTGTAAGTTATACATAATGACAGTAAAAAAAAAGTGGACAAGCAGGACCACAATCCCAGACAATTTGTATCAAGTGGCCATCTTGCCATTGCTAACAGCAATGACAGCAGAGTCAGTTTAGGCTAGGAGTGGGCTCTGGTACACACCCAGAGAGATTGCTTTCAAAAGTAGGAAAACTGTTGCATTAAGAATGTCTGAAATTGGCTTTATAAAAATGTAACACAAGGCAAAATCCCACGCATTATAAAAATTTGCTTCCGGCATTGCATATTTTTCCTTTTACACTTGAGTTTTGGCTTTTTTATGAAAAATCCATTGAAAATACGGAATGCTACAGCATTTCAGTCTTATAGACACCTTTTCTTTTAAAACTCAAGAACCTCCACTTCCACATTTCTTTTTCTTCCTAATACATGGTTATAATTTCTGTTCTTTTTGGAAATTCCCTGGCCTTTGGTTTCGCCATGCAAAATGCTACTACTTTGAGACCGGGCAGATTTTTGTCACAGGAAATGCAATGCCCTTGAGCCTTTAGAGAGCTTCTGCTTCTTTGTCCACAGCTGCAGGTGGATTCAGCTGTGAACATAATTAACAGTACTTAGCTGACCAAATGCAGCCTCACATCTGACAGGCATACACTTCAAACTGCTGTTGGTGTTCACAATTTTAGCTTTGCAGTTAACTGTGAAAACCATTGATGGGCAGGAAAGTTTCAAGTCATTTCAAGTCATCTTTGTAATTGGGGCCTTCAGGAGGAGTAATTGCTCTCAGCACTTGACTGCTAAATCCTCCTTACCTTCAGTAAATTGCACTTAAACTTGCAAAGTATTTAGTGGTAAATTCACTTATTTTCATAGCATCTAAATGTCTTTTTGAGGAGGTGGAAGTTAGGTCACACGGGTGTGAGCAAGAATATTGAAATAGGCATTAGTAAATTGACCAGATGGTATAAAAGGTGCTAGAAATGCTCTGTAAACACCAGATAAATGAGATCACTCCATTAGGATTAGTGAAAGTCCCACTAAAGAGTGAACAGTTGTTTTTCTGTTCACTAAATGTAACGCATATATCCTTATCTGGTGACATAGCTTGATTACTTCTTGTTACTTCAGATTATTTTCTATAGTTTTTTTCAAAACAGAAAAAAACTATAGAAAACAGTTTTTTTAGAAGCCAATGACATTCAAATTGTCAAAAGCTAGCACTACTTTAGTCTCTTAATAGGTTAGCTTTTATTCTTGTTCAATAAAGGTACACATTTGACCAATACCTTACATAAGCAGTAGATGAGGACAGAGGAGCTCTGCTACTGACTATGTCTCATTAATTTGTAAAATTATGCATGGAAACAAACTTCATTATTTCATTAAACCTGCATTCTTTTTTCTTTCTGCTCTCAGATTCCTATAAGAATTTGCTAGGAAAAAAATACATAATTATCTATTGCTTGAGCAAGTGATGTTAAAAGTGAAATAATTTATTACCTGTTTTGCTAATGCTGAATGGATAATTCATGAATTGGTATACTGAAGATGAAATAATCTAGAAAATCTTTGATGTATACAATTTTTTTTTTTTCTCTTTTCTTACAGGGTGTGAAAGAGCACAAATGTGGAATTTGTGGCCGGGAATTTACTCTGCTGGCCAACATGAAGCGACATGTCCTGATCCACACCAATATTAGAGCCTATCAATGCCACTTGTGCTTCAAGAGCTTTGTGCAAAAGCAGACACTCAAGGCCCACATGATTGTTCACTCTGATGTCAAACCCTTCAAGTGCAAGGTAAGTTTACTTGGTGGCATAGACATTAACCCACTGGATGTTTATGTGATGTAATCACCCTGCAACATGGTAGAATTAGAGAAACAAGAGTTAATAACAAATGCTGCAGTTGCAGTTAAATTATCATAAACCAGCCTGATTTTCTTTCTTTATCCAAGTTCTGCCTATGTAACACAAAATAGTGGAGGTAAATATCTGTGGTTCACTCCCTTCCCCTTCAATACCAGTAACTTTCATCCTCAGATATCTTTTTTCTGCTTTGTGAGCACTTAAATGGCATGGTAGTTTGAGGACAATAAATATACCTGACATTTGCTTACAACAGCCATCCAAACAGAAATCTTAGTGCTTAATAGCTTGAAACACTGACTAAAAACATAGACCGAGTCATACACCCCTCAGAGGAGCATGGAAAGCAGCAGCCATGACTTCACACACCGATGCTATGTGACAGTTCAGGGAAGGACTCAAAGAAAGCTACAGCAAAATACAACTGCAGAAGGGATTTGAACAGGCCAAGTATAATTACCAGGCTGAAATCAAGGGCAGGACATCAGTATCCTAACAAAACAGCCCCTGAGACCATCTGGCCTTTTTAGGATACTGTGTGAATTCCAGTTTGCTGTCTCCCTCCTGCACGTTGGAAGCTGACATTCCTTTTCTAGCCTCTCTTCTCCCCTCTTCCTGTAAACCTTGAGGCTTTGGCTTTCTTGACTGTGCTCATCTCTAATATCTTCCTTGTGGATTATTCATTTTTATATTCTTACTCAGCATCAGATGCTACATCTGTACCTTTTGTTGCCTGATTCATTACTGTAGTCATACCTTGTGAAGTAAAAGGTTGTGGGTTTTAGTCCCAGTTTGATCTGCTCTGAGAGGGCTATAAATGCAAAGTGGAGCATATTACCTAGTTTATGCCTAAGCAGCTGAAGATTGATCTGGAAGAAATTTCTTGAACTCTTTCGTCCAACATATTAATGTAATTAAATATTTCCATTAAAGGAGTAATTCATGGAGATGAAGCGTTGGATTCAAAATTTTAAATTTAATTATTTTCTTTGAAAAATTTAGAACTTCAAAATGTCATGGGAAAATATGGCATTCAGTGGTAATTTTAAGAAGAAAATGTCAAAAAGAGTCTTTTTGACTTCCTCATGTTGCTTTGATAACTTTTAAAGCATTTCACTTTGAAAAAAATAACAGAAAGTCTTTCAACTTTATCATTTTAATATTTTAATTTATGTCTTATTAACATATTGTTTTGCATACTAGGAGTTATGTTATTCGATATTGATAAAGCAATTTCTGGTACTGAAATACTTGGTAGTTCCTTGTCAAGTCTGCTGGAGACTTGCATTCTTTGAGAACACCTGCAAACTTATTTCTTGTTCCTGTTCTGTCAAGGTCCTTCTCTGACACCTTAAATTTCAGAAAAGAAACTCAATTTTTTCAATTGAATCAGCTATTCTGGATGCAGTTTCTGGACACAAAGTATTTTTGGGGTATGTGCAGATTAGCTGGAAGTTTGTGTTCAGATTAGGGTTTGATGATGACAGACTATTGAAGTTTGAAGATGGCAGCATTTTGAACTAGGAACTGGAGTACCATTAGTAAGTTTTCTAGCCAGTAACAAAAGCTCTAAAGCAACACCTGTTTTTCAAATTTGTTTACTTCTCTGTCCTCAGCTGACATGTTCTAGAGGAAAGAAAAAAGTAAGCACAGTGAACCAGTTTCTTCTTTGGCTGAAGGGGAATGAGCCAATACCAGTGCCCCTGAATGAAGTGGAGTAACAATAAGCAAAGGGAGAATCAGGAATTGATCTTTGGTGTTAGGAACACCCCTTGTCTCTCTGGCAAAGCCCTTGAAAGATTCGAGCAAGTATTTCTGGCTGGTATTCAGAGGGTTAAGGCAATGACCAGATAGCAGCCTTTTGGCACTAAGCTCCTCCTCAGCAGAAGGAAGGATATAGCTGTATGAACAGGCTGCTTAACAATGGCTCACATGTCCCCGGGGAACCGCCTGCAAATAGATTTCATCTTGCTTTCTCTTGTACTTTTCAAAGCTTCCTGTTTTCTCACGGTCCTTTTGGACAGTTTACAGTCTTTCTCCTTCTCCCTCTCTCTTTGAGGAAAGGAACACCCTTCTTATGAAGAGAAAAAAAAAGAATTTTTTTTTGGAAAGAGAGCACAGCAGTAGCGTTTCTACTTCACCACATGCAATGGTTTTCTTTACCTTTTCTCATCGCAAAAGAAAACACGAGGCTTTCCTATGTGTCTAATCAGAGCTAAGCACAGACTATCTGAAGTGAGGGAGTAGCAAATAGTTGTCCCTTCTGTTTCCTCATCCATCTGCAGCCCGGATCTGTGTCTGATTTTTCTCTGAAGAGTGAATTTCTCTGTGGTGTTTAAATGCCTGAGGCCATGTTGCCTTGTTTATTTCTGTTGAAGAAAAGAAAAGAAAAAAACAATCAAAAATAAACAACCAAACCAAAACCACTGAAGAGTTCTGAAGTTGCACCAACTGGTGCAATAGTGCTAATTCCAATTTGCAGAGGAAGCTTCTATGAAAATTACATTTGCTTTTAGTGATGAAATCAGCAATATTTCAGACATCCAGTAAAAAATCCAGTGAAGTTCTCTCCAGCCTAGCCAAATACACTTTGCAACAGATGTTTTGAACCCCTTTTTTCCCATCTAAAATCATGGGTTTAGATCAGGAGTCAAAACCGAAAAAAATGTTAGGGATAAATAGTCTGGGAAGAAACAAAACAGACTGACAAATCTAGAAAGGTGATAGTTTATATGCAGGCTTAGGAAGACAAAATCTAGTGTTGAAATAATTCAGCTTTTCTAGCAAGATGTACTGAAATTCATTTCATCTGCAGTGCAACAATGTGGGTTGAGCAGAATTGCAGAAGAGGTCTTTCTCTGCAGGGCTTGAATGTTATTTCGTCTAAAGCAGACAGACTAAAAAAAAGTCAACAAGTAAACAGTGCTGTTCCTGAAATTTCTTGCATAGGCATTGCAAGTTCCTGAGTGTGAAGGTGCTTGGTGGTGAGCTGTGCTAGAGCTCCCTGCCATGGTACTGACTTAGTGTCATGTTTCATACTCTGCTCATTAGGGCTCTCGCCCCTGCCCTGTCACTGACAAAGGAAATCTTGTCACCTTCCTAGTCTGATCTGCACTCAGGCTGTTCTTTAAGCACGAGCTGTCAACACCAGCTTTTTCTGGGTTGCTGTCTTCCAGCATGTGAGCCCCAAACTGGTTCTCTTCACCTTCTGGATTGTGTACGTTAATGTGAACATTGTCATGTGCCTTTTGAAAAGGACAGGTTACACAGACACCATGCCACACAGAGCCATCGCTCTGAAAAACAGTTTTCATATCTGCATTTCTTTCTTTTTCCTGCCACACCTTTCCACTCTAGTACCATTTCCTCATGTCCCTGGAGGAGATCTCAGGATGAAAATACATTACACATCCCTAAGACTCTGCGTGACTTTGGGAAATGGAAAACCTATTCCTTTATTCAGAGACACAAAACTTTTATGCTGTAAGGAACTATTCTTCACAAAGTCCCCTGTGTTTTCATTATGAAGAAAGAGAAATAAATGCTGCCTTGACAGAAACAAAATAAATGCTCCTTTTAGGTCCATTTTAATATTCAATAAACTTATAAAGATTTGCATGAAGTACTCTAGCCATTCACTTGTTAAATCTGATTCTCCTTGAGTACCCGTTTAGATAAGAAAGTAAAGACCTAGCTATCAGAAAGCAAAAGCTGGTGAAAGCACAGATCAGCCATAATACAAGCAGATAACCAGAAGCCTTCTGCTTAGAAGTGTTTCAGAAGTACTATTATTGGCATTCTGGTAGTCAGAGAAATATTGATATGTCATAGGTCATTCCAGCAGCTGTCTAGATATAATCAGCTGCTGTTCTTCCTTGTGAGTTTTCTGTGCTCATCAGTGCTGTTTCCTCCCAGCATGTTCAGAGTGGGTTTTTTGGGTACACTTACTTCCCTGGACATAAGTCATTTGGCATATTAGCTTTCTCTGAATGCAAAGAAGAGACAGTCATCTTTCCTGAGTGGGTATGGATGATGGGTGGAATCAAATATCCTACTTTTACAAATTAATAAATTATTTTCAGTGGCTTTTTTTTCTTCTTCCACTGCCTTGATGAACACTTTCCTGATACGTTTATTTGTTAGAATTTTCATTTGAGCAAAATCATGGAGAGAAAATCACAGAAGAGAACTTATGCAGCTGAAGCAAATTTTTTTTATAAAAAAAAGCAAGTGAATATTTCTGGATTGTTTCTTTTTGCAGCGTTGACTCAGTTCTAGTTTTTATTCAAAAACAATACCTCTGCAAGGTTTTGTAGTAATGACCTGTTTCCATTGTTACTCAAAAGGTGGTTTGAAATGCAAAAGATACAGTACTATTTCACCAAGGATCATTCCACTATCTACTTTTCATCCAGATATTTCAGGTGGTGGCTTTGTGAATTTGAATCAAAAAATACTGTAGCAGACCTGTACTACCAAAATAAATTATATCAGAAAAACAGATTAGACCTTTAAATTTGGTGGTATCTCTGTAACTTCTTTTTAGTAATTTTCCCCCAGCTAAGTACACTGCTTGATGGAAGTTTCAGTTACTCAGTAGTGATAATTCTGGCTCATGTAGTAGTAAATATTGAAAAAAAAAAAATAATCTGATGGTAAAAGTACTTGGCTAAAACCATTAAAAAAAAAAAAAAAAGAGCTGAAGTAGAAAACAAATGCAGATGTTTACAGAGGGTGGAAACAGCCACTTGGATGTGAATAAAATTATAAATCCTGGTAAGGAAAGACCAGAAGACAAGTGAGATTACAAGCTTGTAATAGTGATGTTGCACTCCCATGTCTTGAGAATACATTTGATTTATAAGGGACCAGACTACAAAAGGACCCATCTAGATAAACAACAACAACAATGAAAAATACAACCTTATTGTTTCATCAAAGGGAATCTTACACGATCAGTGGCTTGAGCTGGCAGGAACATGCTTCAGGGAAAGCTGAGTCACTCTTGCAGCCCAATGACTGTTTAAATTCCAGCTTACTCACCAGAGACACAAAAACACAGAAGCTGGTAAACAGAAGATGAAAGGATGGGAGAAAAATGAGGGAGCAAGAAATGAAGAAAAAAAGGAAATTTTTTTCTAGCTTTAAGCAAAAGGTGCAGCCATTTCATTTTTACTTAAGGAGAAGTAATATTCTGCTTTACTGTTCCACAGAAACACTGTGTGAAATAAACTGGTTTTATTTTGTATCTTCATCTCTGCCTGGTATTGTTCTTGTTTAAAGGCTAGATTTATAAACTGCAAACAGAATGGTTCACTAGAGCAGAAAGTAACACTTTGAATTTCAATCAAGCCAAGAGATTTTCAGGTTACACACTCAAGTCTGGTTCCTTCCTTACAACAACATTCTTTGCTTTTTGAGAATCCTTCGTTGTCTGTCCTCGTCACCAAATTTAAAAAATGGCAGCCGTGCAGAAGGCCCTGGATAGGTTGGACTCAACCACACATTTTTGTCTGTAGGGTTTCTGCTTTTATCTTTGAAAAGCAAATTGCAGGCAGAAGCTGTCAGGGCTCAAACTGAGAAGAGTAACTCCTATTTCCTTTTAAAATGTTCGCCTTGGAAGTACCCCTTCAAATGACTAATTTTCATTTTTACTCTTTTTACAGCTGTGTGGGAAGGAATTTAACAGAATGCACAATTTAATGGGACACATGCACTTGCACTCGGACAGTAAGCCTTTCAAGTGCCTCTACTGTCCCAGCAAATTCACTTTGAAGGGGAACCTAACCAGGCACATGAAAGTCAAACACGGGGTCATGGAAAGAGGATTTCCTTCTCAAGGTAATATTTTTCAGCAAGGTTATTATATAAGAGGTTTGAAGACGCATCTCAGTAAACCCAAATGGGCTTTGTACCACAGATCTATGATCTTGTACCGCAAACCTAATGCTGTTGGAAGAGATTGAATCCCATAAGCCTAGGAGGTTGTTATTAATTGTCTGTATTGCTCCAGTGCCACAGATCAGAGATTCCCCATGGTAATGACCCTTGTCTCAGTGACCTTTCAGATTAGATATGTGATGACACATAAGTCAAGGGTCATTATTTATTAAGGTGTATATACCCATCAATGGTAATTACATATATGGTATGTATACTATATAAGGGTATATACCCATAAATGGTAATTATATGACCATTGTCTTGACCTCCCAAGATGGAGGAGTAGATGGAGACAAAATGAGACAATGTTTATTATCACAAAGGAAATAATTTCAGTGCATTAAGTTGGTGTGATCATGTGTTAGGGAGAATATGGTCAGTAGTGTGAGAGCAGAGGATTTATGACGCCATATCAAAGTTCTTGTATTTAAGCCCAGGGCTCCATAACTGTCACTGTGAGAAGGTGCAATATCTATAGCACTGCAGAGCTTCTGCCAGCATGTGGCTACATCCAACAAAAATGAGAGCAAGCTGGTGGAGAGCCAGCCTTAGTGAGGCTGTGGCAAATGTACGTGGCCAAAGGAATGATTGGGTAACATAATCTTGCTTCCTGAAGCTGCAGTTCCATTATTTTTGAATGTAAGTTACAGTTGCAAGGGGTTTGATTCCCGGAGACTGACAGACCACAGACTAGCAGTCATGGACAAAAAGGCATTATTCCCCAGACACATTTGGTTAGGAGTTTACAGTTTTTCTCTTATGTTTGAGGTACACCATAAATCATAAATTCATTCAAAGGTGACAGAAGAAAAAAATCTAGAAGATCTCATGGGTCTTGCTCACTGTTTATTTGATTTCAGTATAGAATAGGAATGGAAGCCTGAATGGTTCTATGCCCTTGTTTATTCAGTACCATATCACCATAGCTGACATTAGGTGAAGGCCATAGGTTCAAGACCCAGTTTACAAAGAAGCGTGTGAATGTGAGGATTTTTGACTATCCAGCTTATCCTGAAAATCATTTCCTAGCTTCCACCCACCACATACACTTCTTAAATTCAGCTTTATCTGTGCACACATGTTGATGCTATCTGAAGAATAAGGAGAACTACGGAGGTATTTTTTGAGATTTTGACTACCTAAGAATTTTTTATTGTTAGAATTTTCTGGATAAATAATTCTTTCATGGGTAAGATTTCTTGGTGTTCCTCAAATTCAAGCTTTCGGGCATCCTAGCATGTAGGTAAAACACACACTGTAACAACTTATAGCATAATATTTACAAAGATCTTAACAGAAAATGAAATAAATGGTGTTGCTTTTTTTTTTCTGTACATCTCCTACAGAACCATGTTAGTTACACAATTACTTGTAGTTGAACACAGCGTAAGAGAGATGCAAGACAATTTGTAAGGGCTGCCACCTGCTCAGGGACCATTTTAACAGATACAACCTATTGCAAGGTAATAGCTGTATCTAGTGAGATCACACAGATCCTGCAGAAACTTCAATTACTGAAGTAAAAATTCAATTCAATTCAGGGATTCAGTCACTGAGGTAAAAAACGAGACCAAATCAAAACAAAGCAAGTGGAAGGATGGCTTTTGTAGATATTTGCTGTTGGGTGAAATCCTCACCGCAGTACTTTCACTATACTTTTAATAATGATGGACTATGCCTGAATAGTGTGGCTGAATTTTCTTTGCTGCTTCCCGATGCTCAGAGTGTATTTGAGTCTGTAGATGTCTCCTGGGTAACCTCTGGATTCCCAGCAAGAGAGGAGACACTCTGGCAAATACCAAGACAAACTAGATCCAGGACTACACACAAACTTACGCTGCACTGCTCAAAATCATTTGTTTATAATTATTACCTCAAGCTGAAGCACCGCCTCGTGCATAAAGATTTTCAGTACAAAAAAAGTACAAAACCTCAGACTTTGATTACATTAAAGTTTTAATTTAAAAAAAAAAAAAAATTAGGAAGAAGGAATTGGGTACATTCACTGGAAAAGATTGTTTACAAGAGGCCAGGCCACTTCACCTTTTATTCCTAGCTCCTTCATCAAGTGTCTGGCATATATAGCACAATTGTGTGTCTTGATATGGCTGTGAAGTGCATGCAGAAGTAGTCTTTTTAGCAGCATCTCAAAGGAGATGTCATGAGAAGTAAACAGTAAAGTAATTGGAGATAGCTGAGTAGAAGACAAAGGTAAAGTATGAAATAGAAAGTCACCTCATGTTTTGTTTTTGTAGCCACGTGTCTCATAGTAATGTTTCTTATATAGAAATTATTCTTTTTCTCCTTACCTCAAACCAGTACAAGGTTTTGGAAGAGGAAGAATTGCTCTGTCCCAGACAAATGTCTTGAGAAGTTTGGAACAGGAAGAGCCCTTTGATCTTTCCCAGAAAAGTCAAGGGAAGGGCATCTCATTTCATTCGGATGGTGAGAGTGCCAAGGGAAGCTCATGCCAGGAAGAAGAGGAAGACAACGGCTATGAGGCAGAGCAGTACAGCCCTGCCGTGTACCACCACGATGACAACAAGCTGTACGTGGCTCAAGATCTGTCTGGCAAACCTGAGTGCATGATGAAAGACTTCAGGGAGTCCCACTGCAAGGCGAAGGAAGAAGTGCAAAGTGAGGGAGGACTGGAGAAGAGAACCAGAAATTCAAACAACCAGGAGAGCCAAGGAGAGAGAGGCTTTGCAAACAACAAAGAACACCTCAGCTTTATATCCTTCGAAGAGGCCAAACTTGGCCACAATCTCTCTGATTACTTGTGCTTCAAGCAGAGGAATAAGAATTTGAAAGAATTGCTGGAAAGAAAAATGGAAAAACAAACAATGCTTATAGACGTTTAAAATGGACATTTTAAAACAGTTGGAAAATGGGGATAACATAGCTTTTAAAACAAGCTGTAGTTTACAAAGTCTAGAATTTTGTAGTAGTCTTTAGAAATAAAAAGGCTGAATTAATAAAAATAATTTAAGGTAAACCAGATACATTAGAAGAATAAAGCAGTCCAGTTCAAGGTCACCAAAAAACACAACAGACATTGAACAATAACATGTTTATATTTATCCATTTAATGTATAAGTAGACAATAGGGTGGGTACAGAAGTTTGTTTTCCTTTATCTGGGGTGGTAGAGATGGTAGAAAATACATAACTTTCTAGTTATCAAAAAGCAACATACTTTAGTGTTTGGTTTATTATCTGGGTAAAAATATGTGAATACTTCTAACTATATGTCTCAAAAAATCTGAAAATACTATTTCACCGTATAAGCAAGAGTACTGTTAAACATGGTGTACATGAAAGTGCCATCACTCTCAGAACCGAAGTTCAGTTTCTTTTCTGAACTTTCAGAAAAAGAAGTCCAAATACTTTCTTTTACTGAGGTGACTGTTAGTCAACCACTTAAAATGAGAAAGGGGAAACTACTTAAGAAGAAATACTAATGTCTTGTGGGATAGTGAAGGACGGATACATAAGGCTTTGAAAGGATGGCAATTTTTTCTGGTCACAGAAGCTTTTCCACTGCCACACGGGATGTTTGTGCTTTGCTATGTTTCAGTTAGTATGGGAGTATTCAGCAATTCTTCAAGTGAAATAGTACGAGCTGTGTTGACATTTTGTTCTACTGTCTGCTCAGAACAATACATCTAATGAGCAGTAGCAGCATGTAGAATTTGCAAGCCTTGCTATAATTGCACATAAAGCAATATGAGTAATTTCATTGGCAAAATGATGTAATTTTGCAGTTTATCTCTTCAGTCTATCTTGGCTAGCAAGGATGATTTTAAAATATGCAGATCTGATCAAATTTTATTTTAGAAGGTATGCTAAAAAAACAGCCCTTACAGAGCAAGCAGTACCTCACAGAAGAAAACTGGTTTGGGGTTCCCTCTTACCAGAGTCAGAAATTTCCATTATCAACATGGCTTGACCAGTAGCTCCAGGCCTTTCAGAATTGCGCACACACGTTTTTACTGAGTTACTCCTAACTTCTCATCCTCTGATTCCCATAAAATAAGAGGATGTTTCCTAATACAAAAATATATATATATGTTCATAAGGAAGATGTATAAAACACATTCCATTAAGCACATTCTATTTATTGGATGAATAGTTCAAACAGCACCTTGATTCCTGCATCTTCAAGATAGATGACAAACAGCCCCACATCACCCTATTGCTTATAAGGAAATAAAGATTTAATAAGTCATTTAATTAGTCCTATGTCATTCTAACATCCCAGCTCAAGAGGTTAATATCCATATATATATGGTACATCTTTTCCAAATATTACTACTTTCTTCATTTACCTGCCAAGTTCTTTATTTGAAATACTTTGCTATCATGCTCAATATATAGCAAGTTATAATTAGAGTCATATACTTATGGCTTGCTCAGGCTAGACACATGTAGCTACTGCACTTTGCCTTTATAAGAAACCACACCTTACAGAACTACTGATTCTTACCAGGTAATCAGTGTTCACAGGGCAGCAGCCCTTAGTCATCATAGAAAACTAGGTTTGTGTAGTCACAGGCTGCAAAAGGTAGTTTCATTTTTCAGGGTTCAAACACGGTATAATAAAGATTCTGAATGAAGAGCAGAAAAAGCTGTTGATAAAAGAAGCTGTAACATACTCTTGACTCTTCTACACGTAATTAACTCTACAGCTGATGTACTTTTTTTTTTTTAACTAAAAAGAGTATACTAAATTGAAGTGGAATGTAAGTCGCTTTAGGCCTAGAATTAATGAGGTCTTTCAAAATGAGGTGTATTTCAGAGGTACATAGCCATGTTTTTTTTTCAGTAATAAAAATGTTTTATCATATATATTCAACGTCCTTGCTTCAGTGCAAGGTAAATCCTCTTGAAAAAAAAGAGCTGTATTTATTTCAAGGAAGATCTTGTGGTCAAGCAGAAGAATCAGAAAATTATCAGAATAACATATGCAACTGCATTTTTTCTTAGACTAGAGGGGAAATGATAAAGTAGAAATTCAGCATGGTCTAGGAGATTGTCTCTTAGAAATGTGTCCTTTGGTTACCTTCTTGGCAGTATCTTGTCTCTGCCAGACAAAAGTTACTATTTGAGAACATATATAGCCAAGAGCTGGGAGGCACTTACTCTTAGAAATGTCTTTCTGAAGGTGGTGTAGTTCCCAGCTGTGCATGATTCAAGATCAGCCCACTCCACCTTTGCAGCCATATTAGTTCCTATGATAAGAGGAATAAGCAGGGAATAAGGAAACTGGTTGCAGTTTCTAGAATGGTGATCATGTAGATGAGTTGAACTTAGCAAGTTCCTTCACTTCTGCGGTGGGTAAAGCAGAAAAGCATGCAGCCCTTCCATTGCAAAACCCTGTTGTCTATGCATTGGAGACTGTTACAGGACAGCTAGACAATCCCTGTCAAGGAAGAGACAAATGATTTTGTATCAACTGCACTCCAGGCAAGTGGAGGAAAGGAGACATTTTCAGCAGACCTCAGCTCCCAGTAGGTAACATCACAACCACAAAAATGATGTCTGCTGAAAGTATACAGTCTACAGTTCCCATACGGACTTTGTAAGGGAAAGTGCCAGATGTGTCCTTAGGAAAAGAAATCACTGCAGATCATTCAGGGTTGTCTGAATGGTCAACCCAAACACTATCAACAACACTCTTACTGCAGCAAGTTATTATTGGAGCAAAAGCAACTGCCATCCACATGGAGCCAGGTGGAAGGAAGTAGAGATCCCCAGAATGGCTATGCTGTTTGGGAATAATTTGTAATGTGAAGTCCTTTTCTTACATTCTTCCTAGAAAATGGAGAACATTCTATTATAACGAGGCCTTGAGACTGTGCCCAGTCACATAGTCACACTAAGCTAATTCATAAACATCCTACGCTAATTCATGTTAGAATAGAAGAGAACTCATCTAGAACCATAGATCACCAGTCACAGGAATTGCAAACAAAACTACTACTGAGATAAGGTGACTGTGTCAACTGACTCAGGCAAAGAGGTTAGGAGATGATAGTCCTCCCTGCTGCAGAATTAAAATGCAGCTGGGTCTAAGACACTTGTTACAAAGAGGCCCCAAGGGACAAATTAAAAGTGAAATAACAGCCTTCATTGTGAAGCACCTTGCTTTTCAAAAGTAAGTTATTTTCATGCTATTTACATTGGCACTGTTTTGGGAACAGACAGTAACCGGCTTTGCTTTTTAGTAGCTTTGAAAATGCTTTATAGAAATTTGCTCTCATAATGAAGTTATTTCCCATTTCTAATTTTTGAGGGATTAGCTTCCTTGTTTTGCTCTGAATAGAGACTGAGAAGCCCTGTAGAGACATCGTTTGTGTCGTGGACCTTGTTGGATACATTTTCTTTTTCTCTCCCTTCCTAATCTAAGTCTATCTACCTTCTTGCTATGTTATGGGGAAAAAAAATTATTCATCTGACTGTTCTCTGCTATTTGTGTTTCTAGTTTGTGATAACATGTGAAATTAATGCCCAGTCTCCACCACCTTTATATTAAATAATTTTTCTGTGAAGCCTAACTTCATCCTCTTGGAGACCATACAGAGCAAATAAGAGTGGCCACAAACCTATACAACTGAGGTGCATTCCAAAGTCATACAAGCTGAGATGTTTCAAGAATCCATGCTGAGGAAAGGTAAATTTGTCACACTAAGAGTGACGGCATGTGTTTTGTTAGATTTGAGGCTTTTCTGCTAAGGTCTGCAGGGAGAACTCTGCAAGACACTATACAGAACAGAGTAGGTGGATAAAAAGTCAAAAGCTGGCTTAGCAAAATTTGAGGGTAAAGACATATAATATATTTACTGAGAAAGTGAAGTTGTAGAATACTCTGCAACAAGATGGTTTGAATCTGGCCACTGGGACTCAGCCATCTCCTAGTGAATGAGTTCTCCTTGCTGCCGGGCAGCTTCCAGTTTGTGAAGGCAAAACCAGGTGCTCTGCATTCAGTATCTCAAGGGATAAAACACATTACAATAATATTATAATAGAAGTTTATCCTGTGCTGAGTCTTATAAAGCAAGTTACTGTAAAGACTAAGTAATGCTACTGCACCTACTTTCTTACAACTCTGTGTTGGTCTACTAGCTATTCTCCAGTTTCTCTCTTCATATGGTGCTTCTGGACTGTTATGAGTGTACAGTTAAGAAGTAATATAAGTACTATATTTATTATTCTGATAAGTTTTCCATAATTATTAACAGTTTTGAAAATAAGTCATGTATGCTTAGCTGAATGAGATGTAACAGAGCTAACATTTTGTACTCAAATTTTACAAACAATGTGGTGAGTATTTAGTTCACATAGAACACTGGATTCATATTTAAAGGCCCAACTCAAAAAACGGACCAACTATCTGTGAATATTTAGTTTTTGGCTTTCTATGCTAATAGTAAAAGCATGTGTGATGTATTGTATTAATTTAAGCAAATAAATATGTACCAGAGAAGAAGCTGTATGTTGTATTGAAATGGATCTGGAGTTATGTCACTGTAACTGTTTTATTTAGTAAAAGCATGGGGCTGGTCTGACAAGGTCATACTTCACTCAGCACTATGGAAGAGAGGTTCTTGTAAAGAGAAGCCCAAATTAATTATGGAAGACTACTTAGAAGACATGGGCAGAAGAGCTGCCAGGTCCTCTGAGGTAGGCAGATCACTTTATTGTTACAGATTGCAAAGAGGACACTGAAAATGCTCTGGAATGATTATGGTATTTGTTAACGTGGCCTCAGACCAGCTAAAAAACAAAGATGTAGTCCTTATTTTAAAGATGTTTTAGAGACCTGCATCTTGTAGAAAGAGAGGAAATAAAAGAAAACACATATTTTGATAACAAGAATGCAGTTAGGAAAGTAGGAATACCTTTATA